GCTGTAAAGCACTATAAAGCAATATATAAGTCTAAGTGCTATTGCTATAACTGAAAATGGTTAAAAACAACCATTACATAAAGATAGAATAATACAGTACAAGCAATTGTAATAGTTGGTATAAAAATGTATGCTACAACTTTGGTAGATCTTACATTAATTAATGTCCAATTTTCATGGCTGCTACACTGTATTTTTCTAAAATCTTAGTAATAAACAATTTACAATCTGAAAAAAAAGGTTATTATCAGATCAAGTACTGATGTAAAAGGGACAGAATATAGACATTATGAATATGTCAGTGATCCAACTAACAACTCCAACCCAATAAACTCCGAGACGGGCATTTTTTCAAAGTTCCATTTTATTAGAGTAGTCATATAGGCACATCTGGGAAAACCCGAATCTGAGAGTTCCGGGTTTTCCCTTCCCAATAGAAATTCAAAGATCCATCCCCTGCACCCATCAGTCCATTATACAGTCCAATCACCATCCGTCCCAACTGGGCACATCCCTCCAACCACTCCTTCCCCCTGTGCAGGATGGTTTGTCCTTGACTCAGAAGAAGAACGTTATTATGTCTAAACTTCCATCTCTCTCTAAAATCCCCCCTCCCAAATTCTCAGGCACTAAAATGTGGCAGCATGGAAGTTGCTAAGAAAATATTACTTCCAAAGCTGACAAATATCTCATTGATGGCACAATAAAATAGCATATTAGATTGTTTCAGTACCCCCAGATTCATATGAACAAGCACATTTTTCAAACAGTATTTTAGACCATCTTCCCTGTAATAATGCCAAAGAGAAATTTTCATGCATTTCTCAAAAAGAACAGACTATATATACATTTATTTCTTTACATGCAGGAAGTGGCATTGTTCAGCTTCAAAATCTCTAAAGCTTTTTCTGAATGAGAAATGTTTTCACTGCCTTCAAACTGAAGATTTTATACTATGCAACCTATAACTGATGCAGGAAATCATGGAAGACTTCTTCAACTCTGCAGCTTAAAAGAAAATCCAAGGCTCTATGCAGACCACAAGATGGCATTATTCTGCTATAAATAAAAACTGTTAAAGGGAAAACATCAAAAAATAAAGTAAGCATGTGAACTGTATTCAAATACATATTAAATTAAGTAATTAATTAACTATGTAGATATCAAATGTAAACTACCTGAATTACTAGAAGAAAAAATAAAAGACCTAGAAGCAACTCTAGCCACTCTGAAACTCAATGAACAAAGCAAGAAATCCCAACCTAAACAAAAAGACTACACCAAAAAAAAATACAATAGGGAGTAAACAGCTTCTAAAAATAACCCTAGTTATGTACCAAAAGAGCAAGACTGATAGAAACATGTCATTTTTAAAACAAAACAACAACCAAGACCAAAGCTCCAACTATCTACCCTAGTTTATTCCAGTGAAGCCCCTCTGGAACTGAACAATCACTTTCATAGCCTCTCCATGGAAGAAAATATACAGATACTCACAATAGAGCATTCATCAATAGTTTCTAAAAAAGAGACACAACCCAGCATTCCCATGATAGGAAGAAAAATATTCCAAATTTCCCTAAGAAAAAAAAAGGTGAATATTGGTGATAGGAGATTCAATTCTCAGGGGACAGAAACTGTAGTCTGCAGTCCAAGCAGTCAATCTTGGGAGGCATATTGTCTCTCTGGAGCAAAATTCAAAGATGTAACTGAGATTATTACCAAAATAATCAACCCCACAGATTACTATCTCTTTCTTCTCCTACACATGGGGACCAATAACACAACAATGAATCTGAAAACAATACAAGATATTACAAACAGCTAGCAAAGAAATTTAAAGAATTAGCATAAGGTGACCAACCGTCCTCCTTTAGGGAGGACAGTCCTCCTTTTGTAAGTTCTGTCCTCTCTCAAAATGTGTCCTCCTACATGTCCTCCTTTTTGATATTTGAAGACTAATCTGTAAATCTCCGTATTTGATCGATGCTGATCCGATCCGTTGTGTGTGATGTGATGTATTTGTATTTGACATGACAATTCGTCAAGGCTTGGTATAGTGGGGTAAGATGCGATTATGAGGCGCATTTGCTCCACACAGAATTGTTTTGAGAGAGTGTGACGTGTGTAAGAGTGCACCATGCACAAGAGTGCGCAGCGCGCATGAATGCACCATGCGCAAGTGGCTTTGTTTTTTTTCTTCAATTTATTTGTGTCCTCCTTTTCATTGTAAAAAAGTTGGTCACCTTAATTAGCAGCACAACTGGTGTTTAACTAGCTTGTCTTCAGAAATTGTACTATAGGTGCTTCATCATTGGAGGTTTTTAAGAAAAGACTGAACAACTACTCTCTGGAATGATATAGGGCAGGGGTCTTAAATTCAAGGGTCGGGGCTAGATGCGGCCCGCGGGGAGCTTAGATCTGGCCTGCAGGACTGCCCTGGAGACACCGAAGGACCAGTCTGTGGTGCCTCTGCCAGCAAAACAGAGCTCGGGAGGGCCACATGCAGCCCTCCCAGGCCCCATTGTAGGCCATGACAGCCTCCTTCAGCCCTCTGCCAGGAAAAACAGAGCTCCATTTTCGCTGGCTGAGGGCCACAGGCATCCCCAACACAAGTGACATCAAGCTGGACACCCTCACCCTGGCCATGCCCGCCCTGTCCCCCAAAGACAAACACAACCCTGATGTGGCCCTTAATGAAATAGAGTTTGAAATAGAGTAGACCCTGGTATAGGGTCTCCTGCTTGAGCAGAGGGTTGGACTAGAAGACCTCCAAGATCCCTTCCAGCTCTATTCTGATTGATATTGATTGAATGAAGAGTTATGATGCATAAAAATAACAGTTTGCAAAGAAGCTAGCATATAGTTGTGTCCTCTATCTACTGAATTATTAGCAGAATTAAGTTTCCAGATTCTCTTTTAAGAATACATTTGTATCCTGAAATTTTCACTTTAATTCTGTCCTTCCAATCTTTAAATTTATTTTAAGAATTGTACTTCATTACCATGAATATAATTTTTCCTAGTTTGCAAAATGTTCCTATTGTATATCGTTATGAAATACAGCAATAATATTTTCAGCATTGCATTTCTTGCAGAAAAATGTTCCATAGCCACATGCAGTAATCAAAGAATTGTTCATAGCTCAACCTGTTCTCTTCTTCACAAATGAAATAATGAAACTGTTTATATCTTAACTGAGCTAAAAAAATTACTTCCTCCATTGTAACATTTGAACATCTGGAAAATATTAATTGAAGCATTCCTGAGATGATTGAACAATTAGATGAAATGCATAATTATGATTGCAAGATAAATGTGATTTTTTAAAAAAAAAAAATTGAAAAGTAGAAATTAGTAATTTCAACCTATTTTGTGTGATGAAAACAGAAAAGTACTATTATTTCCATTCAATGAAATACCAATCTATTTAAATCAGAATGGTACTAAAAACAGCATCAATAATCCCATTATCCATATTTTAAATATATATATAAAAAGATTATCAGAAAGACAATAGCTATAATATAAGAAATGAGAAAAATAAAACTATAATGTATAAAAAGAGGAAAATAAAGAAAATGATTAAATTGCAAAGTATAAACATGATTCTACATTAAAAGTCAGAAATTGTAATAACATACATTTAAAACAAAATGCTATTAATATTTGGAAAATCATTACTAAAATACTTAGTACAATACAAACTTAAGAAAATAGTCAATTGTTAAATATTAAAATTAAATTTAAAGTTAAAATTCAATCAAAGAATTTTACATTGTACTAGCAATGTGTTTTATATTTGTATAGTGTATGTTGTCAAGACCTGAGATAAGACGCGCGCGCACATGCACACACGTATCTTTTGGCATTTAAAAGAGGGCATTTGGTGACATGGTATATTTTATATCATTGATTTTTCTCCTTTTTAAAAAAAACCTAAGTGAGCTTGCAAAAACAATTCTTACACTTTACATTTTAGATGTTTGAAAACTATCTACGAGCAATTAATGATAAAAGAGATTCCTAAAACAAGAAAAAATGCATTGGTAATTTACCAGGAGGAAAAAAAGCAGTATTTAAGATTTCTGTTCTCACAAACAAATTACCCTCACATTTCACAATAAGAATGCTTCATCTCAAGAAGAGAAAAAGGGAAATAAGTAATATGTAATGTAGATTAAAAAGTGTTATCAATATTCAGCAGAGATTATCTAGTCTTCTGTTCACAATGATTAAAGTAGCTAACCATCATGAATAGAATGTTATGAGTAATTTTCCAGGAATTTGAAGACAATAATTCTTTTTCATTTGTCAAATAAGTCAAGGCGGTGAATATATGCAATGCATCTTTTCTCCTCCTATTGTCTCCACAACAACAACTTTGCACTGTCAAAATCACCCAGCCTGACTAAGATGGGACTTGAACTCACAATCTCCTGCTTTGTAGCCTGATGCCTTAAACATTAGACCAAACATCAGTTTTTTAAATATACTATATTATTAGTTTTCAGTGAGTAACAACTGAAAAAACATTTTAAGGTATATCTTAAAAGAAACTTAAAATTATTAGGTAGGAACAAAATATTTTGTGTGTACAAATGTCCACTTTAATTTTAAATTATTGTGTTTCAAGTAAGATATTATCTTTAAAAATCTCAGAAGCAGAAATAAAACCTGATAAATTAAAAAAGAGAGACATATGCAAGGTACATTGGCATACACAGGCATCAAAATGCACTTTTCACTCTCCTGTTCAACAATTTCCCTTGCAGCTTACAAGAAATCAAGACACATTTGAAAGCAATTATTATCTTTTATGTATTAATTTACTGCCTTTAATTCTATTCATTGTCCTAGATAACTTGTAACTGCATTGCATGTTGCATTGCATGTTAAATCTCAAAATACTGATATGTTAAAAAACATAAAACCTTTGGGAATGTACATTTCTGAATCTGAATTAACACTGTTAATAATGTAGAAAAATAAAACCTTACCTTTGATTCACATTTCCTGTGACAGAAATATTTGCAAACTAAAAAGAAAAAAGAAAAACAGAATTACTTCAAGGTAATACAACACATACAAAAGTATCAGATTATAATTGTACATTCAGTTCTGAAAGTTCTCTTTCACTGAATACTGTGGATGTTCAGCCATTTCTTTGAATTAGGAGAAACCAATGGAATCCATATTTTTCCTTCTCTTATAATCATATAAGTTAGTTCCTTTTAAAACTTCTCTATGTTCTTTTTTCTATATGAGGTTAGGCATTCACATATATCAGAATCAGGCACTCACATATATCAGAAAATAGTCAGAGTAATTGAATTGTAATTTATTTCCAAGGCAGTAGTTAAAAACCAATGAAGCTCCTGAAGACCATAAATTCTTACTGAATCATAAATTCTTACTGACTCTCAAGTGACCATGAGTGATGTAATCATGTGACTTGATCTAAGACTGAAATTGCTTTTGCAACACTCAGGAAACTGAATTTAAGGAAACAGTTTAGTATATCTGTTGCAATTCTTATTTAGAAGATGAGGTTCTTGAACACTAAAGGGAAAAAATTTCCCCAAAACTGTTAATTCATAATTGGAATGACTGGGAGATTTTTAGCAGAGCAGATTCAAATAATACATGTAAATAATATACATATATAAATTCCTCTCCAACAGTAAACTTTCCTAATTGGTTAATTTCATAATATAAGGGAGGCTATATGCACTGAAAAAGTGTAAAAGTACTGCACTCAATTTGCCACCAAATTTAGAAAACTCAACAGTGGCGACAAGATTGGAAAAGGTCAGTTTACATTCCAATTCCAAAGAAGGGCAATGCCAAAGAATGTTTAAATTACTGCACCATTACACTCATTTCAAAATCCTATAATCATGCTCAAAATCCTATAATCTAGACTCCAGCAGTATGTGGACTGAGAACTACCAGAAGTACAGGCAGGATTTCGAAGAGCTGGAGGAACTAGAGATCAAATTCCAACATATGCTGGATCATGGAAAAAGCTAGGGAGTTCCAGAAAAACATCTACTTCTCCTTCATTGACTATACTAAAACATTTGATTGTGTGGATCAGAACAAATTGTGGCAAATTGTGACCATCTTATTTGCCTCTTGAGAAACCTATATATGGGTCAAGAAGCAACAATGAGGACAGGACATGGAACTACTGATTGGTTCAAAATTGAGAAAGGAGTTCACAAAGCTGCATACTGTCACCCTACCCATTTAACTTATATGTAGAGCACATCATGAGAAAGGCGGAGCTAGATGAATCAAAAGTTGGAATTAAGATTGCTGGGAGAAATATCAACAACATCAGATATGCAGTTGATACCACTCTAATGGCAGAAAGTAAAGAGGAACTAAAGAATCTCTTGATGTGGATGAAAGAGGCAAGTGCAAAAGTTGGCTTGAAACTCAACATTAAGAAAACTAAGATCATGGCATCTGGACCTCTCAATTCCTGGTAAATAGATGGGGAAGAAATGGAGATAGTGATAGATTTTATTTTCCTGGGCTCCAAGATCACCACAGATGGGGACTACAGCCAAGAAATTAAAAGACACTTGCTCCTGGGGAGGGAAGCTATGGCAAATCTAGACAGCATACTAAAAAGCAGAAACATCACCCTGCCAACAAAAGTGCATATAGTCAACAGTATGGTTTTCCCAGTTGCAATTTATGGTTGTGAAAGCTAAGCGCCAAAGAATTGAGGCCTTTGAACTATTATGCTGGAGAAGACTCCTACGAGTGCCGTGGACTGCAAGGCAATCAAATAAATCAGTCCTAGAGATCAACCCTGACTGCTCTTTAGAAGGCCAGCTCCAAGTTGGGTTCAATGATGGTTTCTTGAGGAGCAAGTGAACCAAAGGCCTCTTTAAAAATATAGAATATAAAATAATAGGATTGGAAGGGACCTTGGAGATCTTCTAGTCAACCCCATGCTCCAGCATTCGGGAAAAATGGCTGTCCAATCTCTTCTTGAAAGAGGTACAGCAGTTTGACTAAAAGTCCTTGAGGATTTAATGAACATTTAATGAACATTTGAAGTTACAACAGACACACACACACCCCAAGTTACATACAATCCATTTCAAAATTATGACTGCTGCAGTCAGTCCTGCAGTCATTCACCATTATAACACACCACAGAGCCACTGTAGTGCTCTCCCACCTCTCTCTTCTCATCTCACCGTGCTGGAACCTTGAGCTTGAGTCTGCTCCCTGCAGGCCTATCATCACTACACTTACCTCATGTTATAGAACAGATATCAAATTCAAGGCCCGCGGGTCGGATCCAGCCTGCGGGGTGCTTAGATCTGACCGTCAGGACTACCCTGAAAATAGTGAAGGACCAGCACACAGTGCATCCACCAGAGAAAACAGAGCTTGGGGGGCCTGTACATGGCCCTCCTGGAGTCCGTTTTCCCTGGCAGGGGGCTACCCCCCAGCCCCACCTGGGCCACCACAGGTGCCCCCTGACACGAGTGACATCAAGCTAGTCATGTCCACCCTGGCCATACCCACTCCGGCCATGCCCATCCATACCCCAAGGTCAACACAACCCTGATGAGCCCCTCAATGAAATAGAATATGACACTTCTGTTATAGAAGGAGGGAGTCTATGTATCCTCAAGTCACAGGTCCAAATTCAACCACTATTTTGTCTTATTCACTGTCAGGCAGGAAGAAATTGGCAGATGCCAGACAAAACTGATTTGTTTTACTGCTTTAGAGAGGTTTGCATAGTGCTGTAGAAGCTTCTGAATGCTGCAGAATGTGTCCATACCACTGCACAGATCTTTTTATGGCAGTGAAGAAATTTGTCCCCAGAACTTATGGCAGTGTCCAAATGCAGCCACCATTCTGTGGGTGGGACAAAATGGCAGCTGCTTTCAGAATTCTGCCAGTTGTGCAAAGAAGTAAGGAATTCCAGCATTCTGAAAGGCCTTGGAGCTCTTTAAAAGATAAGTGAGGACAAAAGTGTTTTGTGTGATGGGAATCAGACCTAAGGCTTGGGAGGACCCAATGGGAATGGGAAAAGGCCTGTTGGAATTATGCAGAGGAAGTGGAGCATGGAAATGGTAGAGAAGGGTGGTGGTGGGAGAGAAAGGTGAGGTTGGGCCTGTGCTATGCCTCTTGCTTAATAACCCTCATTTAATGATTCACTGGGGAAAATAGGGATCTGGAGGCCATTATATAAGATGTTTCACCTAATGATTGCCTCATCATTTGACCATAATGGGAAGGCTCCAGTACAGTCACATCTCAAGACTACTCAATTTTTACAACTCTGTAGTTCCTTAATTTGAGGTAGAGTTGGGGCAACTTGATGGAGCTGAGCATTTACTGGACAGATGCCCTTCCTGACACCATGCGAAATTCACAACATTTTTTTCCTTTGCGCCCTAGGAGAGAACATCTGCCAATATCTAGGATTGCACTCTCAACCTTCTGAGTGGGACTACCTTTATATAAATTGAAACAAATCATTGCAAAACAACCACACAATGAAAGGTTTCAGAAGCCAGACTTTAGCATTCAACTGAAAGTCTAAAATGATTGGTATTTAAAGCCAGTCATTCAAACTCTGTTGATCTCATACTCTGACTACTGCAATGTGATCTATATAGTGCTACCCTTGAAGAGCATTTGAAAGCTTCAAACTCTGTGGAGTGCAGCAGTGCATGCAATCTTTAGGGTCCCTACATTGCCCCAAATTACACCATTGTTCTGCAAGGTGCACTGGCAGCTGGTTTGCTCCCAAGTGCAATTCAAGATGTTTATCATCACCTGCATGTCATGGCTCCGGATAACTTAACTCTTAGCCCTATGGAATAGGCCTGCCCCACTTGTGCCAGCAGAGGAAGCTTGCTGCAGATATCATCAGTCAAAGAAATTTCACTGGTGGGGTCCAAGAGAAGACCCTTCTCTGCTGTGGCCTTGGCCCTTTATGAAATCTTGCCCCTTGAGATGAGATTGCCTCCCACCATCCTGATCGTCCCGAAAAACTTGAAGATCTGGCTCTGCCACTTGGCTTGGGGCCCCAATGGGAAGTATCACACAAGGAAGTGGTTGATTAATAGCAGCTCCCACCTTCCCACCCCCCCCAGGACATTCTACTCTCTTCCTCTCCATTTTTTAGTTATAACCTGTATTTTTATATACACACCCACATGCACGCACACACACATGCATACATGTATGTATGTTGTATGTATGTATGTATGTATGTATGTATGTATGTATGTATGTATGTATTACATTTGTTTGCCTCCCATTTCACTACATGGCAACTCTGGGCAGCTTACACCATCAAAATAAAAGTGTGTGTGTGTGTATGATTTTATTTTGATGATGTAAGCTGCCCAGAGTTGCCTTGTAGTGAGATGGGAGACAAACAGATTTAATTAATAAATAATTAAAATTTAAAAAGCAATATAAATGCAAGGCAGTAAGGCTTACCTCTGCATGAAGTACCATTGGAATTGTTTATTTGACTGCATGTATCACAAGTTTTTGCTTTTTAAAAGTGTTTACTCTTGAATATCTGAGAGTCTGAAGCTAAGTCTTCTGCCTGGAAGACAATGAAAAAACAATTTCAAAAGAAGTTAACAATATATTTAAACTAGCAAAGCTGGTGAAGCAAATAGTAAAACAATTGTAAGACAAAATAGTACTTTAAACTGTATCAAAGTGTATCATTTACAAACATATTTATAAATAAAAAGAACTGTATTTAACAGTAAATAATATTTCACTCACATGAGGAAATAGCAGAATGCAAAGAAAGCTTTGAAGTTTATAGAAATACCAAGAAATCTTCTTTACAAGATATAAATAAGAAATGAGGAATAAGTGCATTATTTCAGTAACTGAGTTAATTCAGTAAGCACAGTATATTCAGAAGAAATGGAAAAATAATCAGGAATGTGATGATGGATTTCTTAAAAGGAAGCACCTATCCTGTTATATCCTGCAAATTTTATTGGAAATCACTGCCATGCAATGAATAAATATTTTAGGTTTTAATAATTATTGATAACAAATAATATTTTTTTGAGAAAGGTGCAGGAGAGAAGGAAAGAAACTGCCTTCCTTCCTCCCAATTTTCTCTCCTGTCTAACCCTCTTTAACTCTAACCCTCACCATTATTCATTTTTTTTATCCAGTTGGCAATAGGAGATTGACACTACAGATATTGGACTATATGAGTAGTTCTCATTCTGTATGTACAACTGGAACTGACAGCCTGGTTCTTAAGCAAAGGAGCTGCTTCCTTCAGCTTTCCCTTGTTTACAGACCTGTTAAGTATCATAAATGCAAGGATTAGTTGAAAAGTTACTTTTTCTTCACATGGTAATTGTAACTGGTCACTAAATGAGGACTAATTATATTGCCGACTAGTCTTCTGAACATTATAAGGTTCTATATGTCTAGAGTCAAGATGTCAATCTGGCCCACATTTGAGGGCACATTTGAGGGAAACAATAGAAAAAGAAACGGAAGCTAGTTTTTAAATGCCTATCCATAAAATTCATTAGAGATAAATAGAAACTTTTCATAAATAGAAAATTCATGTTCATTAGAGATAAATAGAAACTTCTTTAGAATTCATGTTATTCACAGGTAAGAGTAAAAATTCTGCATTTTATCTTGGCTCAAAAGTACTGCAAGGGTATGCTAGGATTCAGGCAGCCCAATAAAAATTTTAATCTCTGGACCACAATCTTTATGTTTCCCGAAGAAAAGCTACCTTACAATTGTTGTTCTTTAATTCAGTTATTTTAATCTTATAAAAGGGATGTTGCTTCCCATCTTTAAAAGCTACTTATACATTGTTTCTTTTAAAAAGTTCCTCAAATGAAATCCCCTGTAGAATGAAAGCAGTGTATACACTTCTGCATACATACTTTTTATTGTGACACATATAAAATTATTCCTATTGCATTTTAGAATCAGACTATTATATTGCTATGATGTAATTTGGCACATTATTTAATAAAAGTCAAACTGCTGTTTGAAATTTTCAAGAATGGATGCTGAGCCAGAATATCTGTCTTTTGTAAATCTTGATTATCTGCAAAATCTTACATTGGCTGGTTATAGTCATCCCTCCAGGACCCAGTAACCTGTAGAATAGAATAAACAATTTAGTCCAGTTGATGTTTAATAAATGTATTTAATTATTAGCAAGTTCTGAAAGTAGCTTTTATGAACTCATGAAGAAAATGCATCATTTCAAGTATTAAATACTGAGGCTTCATATTTGAAATGGTATAGGGTCTCCTGCTTGAACGGGGAATTGGACTGGAAGACCTCCACTCAGAATCAATCAACTCCGATTTATTTCTATTGATTTTTAGGATGACAGCAGTATTGCAGAACATTGATAGGGGTGGGAAAGAATGTCACCCAATTAAAACTACTCTATATACACTTGTGACAGCTGGCAATCACATTAGGGTGTCATGTAAACACCAGCCTTAGTCTATCAGTAGCAGATGAGGGAAAAGGAGATTAGCTCCAGGATTATTTGAGCATTTTCTCCTAGTCAACAATATTTTATAAGCAGATTTAAGTGGATTCTTTGGGATTAAAGCTCACAACTAAGACACTCTAAAGCAATTGTCTTCTTGGTATCCTAGTTTTTTTGGGTCTTCTGTTACACAGATGATAGAAAATGGTAAGAAAGGGCTAAAGAAAAGTAAGCAATTCTGTTGATAATGGTACGATTTTGTATTATAAAGTATTTGAAATAATAATAGTTTCATTATATTATACATACCACCAAACTTAAAATATGAATTAGATAATCACAGAAACATGACTAAGTTACAAGCCTTGGTATACAATCCCCATTATAACTGAATTCATACAACCCAACAATCAAACAATTTGCTCTATGGCTAAAGCATGATATGTGAGTCAAGCCTATGTATATCTTCAAAACTTACATGTTCTGCTTCTTTTCTGCCACATAAAAGATGCATACAAACCACAACCACATAAAATTACAGCTACAGGATATGACGCCAAATTAGTTTATTTCTTAAAATTCAGTTTCTAGGTATGAGATTATTGATAGAATAGAATAACAGAGTTGGAAGGAACTTTAGAGGTCTTCTGGTCCAACCCCTCCCCCACCACTTCAGGCAAATGGTTATCTAATCTCTTTTTAAAAACTTCCAGTGTTGGAGCATACACAACTTTTGGAGGCAAGTTGTTCCACTGATTAATTGTTCTAACTGTCAGGAAATTTCTCTTTAGTTCTAGGTTGCTTCTCTTCTTGATTAGCTTTTACCCATTGTTTCTTGTCTGCCCTCAGGTGCTTTGGAGAATAGCTTGATTCCCTCTTCTTTGTGGCAACCCCTGAGATATTGGAACACTGCTATCATGTCACCCCTCGTCCTGCTTTTCATCAAACTAGACATATCCAACTCCAGCAACCGTTCTTTATATGTTTTAGCCTCTAATCCCCTAAACATCTTTGTTGCTCTTCTCTGCACTCTTTCTAGAATCTCAGCATCTTTTTTTACATTGTGGCGACCAAAACTGGATGCAGTATTCCAAGTGTGGCCTTACCAAGGCATTATAAAGTGGTATTAACACTTCACGTGATCTTGATTTTCTCCCTCTATTTATGCAGCCTAGAACTTTTAAAAATATCACCGGCTACGGCAAACCTCCTTCCCAAGCTGAAGGAAATCAACAACTGGCAGATGACCTGAATGTGTTTTACTGCAGGTTTGAAAGGAAACTACAGCCACCAATCTCCACAAGCCCCATCTCGGACACACCAACAATAGCCGAACCTCCCACAACTGACCCCAATTCATTGGGTTCACAACCCCTGGTGATCACAGAAAAAGAAGTTCAGGATCTATTTCACAGACAAAAGCCAGGAAAAGCACCAGGGCCAGACAAGGTATCTCCTTTTTGCTTAAAAGTCTGTGCTGACCAATTGACCCCCATCTTCACTGAACTCTTCAATAAATCACTAGTTTGCTGTGTTCCTTCTTGCTTCAAATGCTCTACTATCACCCCAGTGCCAAAGAAGCTCTCCATCAAGGAACTGAATGACTACAGACCAGTTGCTCTAACATCTGTAGTTATGAAAAACTTTGAAAGGCTTGTGCTGTCCCACCTGAAAACCATCACGGATCCACTGTTAGATCCCATGCAGTTTGCATACCGAGCAAATAGATCAACAGATGATGCTGTTAATATGGCTCTGCACTACACCCTACAACACCTTGAGTCTCCAAATACCTATGCAAGGGTCTCTTTATAGACTTTAGTTAAGCATTCAATACCATAATTCCAGACATTCTTCTAACTAAACAAAACCAGCTAGTGGTACCTGAACACACTTGTAAGTGGATCATAAGCTTCCTAACAGACAGGAAGCAGTAGGTGAAGCTAGGCAGAATCACATCTGATACCTGTACAATTAGCACAGCCCCCACCCAAGGCTGTGTGCTGTCTCCACTTCTCTTCTCCCTATATACCAATGACTGCATCCAAACGATCCATCTGTTAAACTACTGAAGTTTGCAGATGATACAAGTGATTGGTCTCATTCGAGACAACGTATATAGACAGGAGGTTGTACAACTTGCCTCATGGTGTTACCAGAACAATCTGGAACCGAACACACTCAAAACCATAGAAATGGTGGTAGACATTAGGAGAAACCCTCCCATACTCCATCTCTTACACTACTAGATAACACAGTATCAACAGTACAGACCTTCAAATTTCTAGGATCTATCATATCTCAAGACCTAAAATGGACACCTAACATCAAAAACGTCATCAAAAAAGCACAACAAAGAATGTTCTTTCTGCGCCAACTCAGAAAGCTCAAACTGCTCAAGGAGCTGCTGATACAGTTCTACAGAGGAATTATTGAGTCTATCATCTGAACCTCTATAACTGTCTGGTTTGGTTAACAAAATTTTTTAAAAAATGTTAGTTTAAACTCATAACTTGCTGGACAACATTTAAAATTCATGGAATGACTATTATGATTAGAAGTAATACTTTGTTTTAAAAGTATAGCACAAAAGGAAAGAGAGAGCACAATGAAAAATGTGCATACCTGCACAGAAATTTAAGCATGTAAGAAAACAGGTATCTTTGTGCCAAAGGGTGTGGATGAAAGAAATTGTTACAGAAAGCAGTAACTAAAAGTCAAAGGAGCTATCATCAAGCCACTATGTTGACAGGCAACAAATTTTGTCAGGCCTTTTCACTAACTTCCTATTTCTAAAGGTTAGGGGAAAGGTTCGGAGATTGATTGGATATTACCCAACAAGGCAAAATTTGTCAATTAGATTAAAATAATAGTCAAAATGATTTAGAAATGCTAAACAAGTCAACCAAAATATTTACAATTTTTTTCCACAGCTGATTTCCCCTTCCGCGCTATTTTTTTTAAGTGCCAAAATTCCAAAATTAGTTTCGGGTCATGACCAAATTGGGTTGCAATCAAAGTTATAGAGTGGATTATGGTTGTGACCAGAGGTTCTACTGTATATGTTTAGAAAGTCAGAACTTAGTTCTTTCATATTTGAAGAACAGGCACACTAATTTTTCCCTTAATCTGTGCAGACTATTCTACTGTCATTTGGATAACTAGAGAATTCCAGATTATGGAGGATGAGATATTCAGAAAGATTTAGACTTCAAGGCTAGCTGTATCTATAATTAGGTTGATATGCTGTCTTGGAGATGTAACAAGGCAGAAAATGGTTATTGAATAATCTTATGTTATATTTACAGAGAAGCAAATAATGGATAGCAGATAAATGATTCATAGGGAACAATCCCTATGAACAATGAAAGGCTTAAGAAATGATATAGAAAAATGACCAAAGGGCAATGTAATCGCACTGTTCAAATACCTGAAAAAATGTCACATGAGAAGAAATGCCAAGACCTATTCTTACTCACTGCAGAATATAAAATGTAGAATAATGAATTTAGATTACAAAAGGACCAATTCTATTTGAATGTTAGGAGTGGGGAAAATCCTTCTTCATAGTTCAGTAGTGAAACTAATTAGCCTAAGAGATGATGATTCCCTTTATGAGTATCTGGTCAAGCAGAAAATAAATATCAATTCTTTAGAAGGCATTAATTTGGATGCCAGCATTAACTAGCAAGGCTGTCGTTTCTAACTTTAAAATTCCATGATTCTAGAAACACAAACTTAATTTCAAGTAAAGTTTTTGTTTTGAAAATAAAACCAAATAAATGCTGTAGAAAAATAATGTAGAATGCATAATCAAAACTTTATTTGCCTAGCCAACTAAATCAGGAAAGCACGAAACAGGAACAACTCTACTCTATGCTTTGCAACTCCACGTGCATTTCTTAATAAAATTTCTGACCAGAAAGATTTGGTCTGTTATCATTCACCTTCCTTACCGACAAAGAAGATATATCCATTTTTTCCCCTCCTCTTTGGAACCTCAATTTAGCAGACAGAGAAATGCCTTCCTGCAGGCAAGAATGAACAATCTTGAACAATTACAGAGACTTGTTGTGGGCTTATTTCCCCTTACTTGTTGTGGGGAATTATTTTCCAAACATAAAAGGAAAATGGAAATTGGCTATCCATATATTAACAGGTTAAAACAAGCTAACTTGCAGATGGATGGGATCAAAGTGCCTAATTCCTCTCCAGGGCTGCTTTTCCTTGATGTGCATTTTTCCCTTGAAGCAGAACTCATATATCAAAAACATATCACACCACATCAATATCACAGAGAAGAAGACAAACAAACATTCTTCATATATTCCCTATATCTTTTTAAGTTTGCTACTCTTTTTCAGGCAGATATGCAAATTAGTTTTTTTCAAAAAGATTTATGAACAGATAGAGCATTGGGCTTACCTGAAATGCATCTAGTTGTACGGGAGGAGAATCCAAAGCATGGGCTGTCTCCTGCTTCCTTGCTTAAAGACGGAGTCAATCAAAGTTTAGACCAGCCCCCTTTCCACTGCGCATGCCCAGTTTTTGATGAAGGCTGATGATTGACTTGGAGAGTTCTTTGGTGCTCGTTCTTGATTGTTCTCAGATCGGGATTAACTATCTAAGGGTGGGATTTGGATTCTCCTCCCA